GTGATATGATTTTTGTTAAGTCTGTAGAGAATAATGGGGGTCATTGTAATGTCCCAACAGGAGTCGGTGCTGTGTCCATGTGAGACAGTCGGACAAGGCAGCTTTGACCATCTGTTGAAGTCTTAGAGTTTCACCTATTCACAGTCTCATAAAGGCAGAGGCACAGAGGAGTGTGGGAGAAAGGAATGGGAGGGATTGAAGGATCAATCTCAGCAGAGCAGGGCTGGGGAGGCAGGGCCTTACTTATGCACACACACACACACACACACACACTGTTGTCCCAGGACTGTGAGGTGAGCTGCTGTGGGCATACCATAGTGCTGCATTCTGTCAGCTCCAGGGAGTTGTTTTGCACTGCAAAAAAAAAAAAAAAAAACTCCGCTCAGCCCCTGAATAACAGTGGGGATATCTCTAGTTCTCTAGTGTCACTTCCCGTCCCTGACCAGGATAAAGACTGCATCGGATGGTGGAGGGAGGGGGCATCCATCACTGTCCGTGCCTACACTCCTGTGATGGATGTTGCTGTTTATCCCTCTTTGCAGGTTATTTAGATGCAGTCACAGAAGGGGATATTAGTGATGGAGAACCAACGCAGCCACTTTCCTCTTTTTCAACCCAATCCAATCAATAACCTGCTTATCTCTTATCTGCATTTTCAGGCTAATTCATCGTGGATACTTGAGGCAATGCGATGTAAGCAGGATTTATTCTTTACCTCTGCTCTGTGTTTTCAATTACGGTGCCTGCAATGGATCATCTTTCTGACAGAAAAGGGCTGCATGGTGTTTGCGACATTGCCAAGAGTGGAAATTGTTTCTGAAAAAATTGAATCAGTATTTTCCTGTCCTCTGTCCTCCACAGTTGGGGATTAAAATAATTGCTTTAGATGCAATTTAACACCACCCCTGGGAAATAAGGCCGATTTGGACAGTGTGGACCAGCCTTTTTTATAATCACATGTGAAAATATGATTGATTTCACCCACATATTAATATTACATGATGTCTGAGACTCTGGGACTGTTGGCATTCCGTAAAAGAGCCATGTAGCTATTCCGACATGGTGAATTATACACAACGCCCAGGAGACAGATGTGTTTTTTCTTAGCGATGCTGACATGTCAACAGGCCTGTGACACCACTTTAGCACATGCTTTATTAATGTTTACTTGCTGTCTCCCTCTCTCACACAGCTGGGCTGTTAACCATGCTGCCTTTAGATCTACTGATTCATGCTTCATCAAAACTTTGTTTAAGCTGTTATCCACAACATTCAAACTAGTTAGCCATAATATCTATAAATATCTCTGGTTAAATTCTCGTTGTGTGCTGACGTGTCACTGGGCAAGGCACTTGTTGAAATAGAAGCTAAGGTTGCCAAAGGAGTGACTGTGATCATCAACCAAGGATCTCAGACGTTAGAAAAGTCGCTACTGATTTGGATCAACGAAAAGCAGTTGGCCGACGACAGTATTTCAGAGACAATAGTTTGTGGGAAAGCGAAGCAAACAATCACACAATACCGTTTTTATATTTGTAAAAAAGTGCATCTTGTTATCAACTCAAAAGAAAAACATCCCAAATTCACTTGCACTTTGAAGTATTTTAAATTTAAAAAACCCAAGTCATGAGCTCTGGGAAGTCATTTCACGTCTCTTCACTTCACATCTTTTTTTCATTCGCCGCATGAATCAAAAATGAAGTGGTATTGCCTTGTGTTCCTCTTTTGCATGATTATGCTGAGGCATGCAGCTGCATAAATAAGGGTGAATGATTTCCATTCAGAAGACAGCTCCCTGTCTAGATCCTGTCCTTTTTTGCGAGTGTGCAGTTACATATTAATTCCTTCTTTTTGTCATTTCGTGTGATAAACAAATCCTGGCAGCTGACGATTGCAGCGCTCGGTGAAAATGAGGTATGAGCCCTGCTCTTATTGTTCTCCTGGTCCACACCAGTTGATTCATGGCTGACAACCCTTCATTGCTACTCCTAACACACACTGACACACAAATGGGGAGAATGCAGCAAAACATTACGCTTGCTCCATTATATAGAGAGAGAAAAAATGATTAAAAAAACACAGAAAAAAAACCCAAAAAAACAAGAAACAAAAAGATGCTGCACCCCCCCAAAAAACAAGAAACAAAAAGATGCTGCAGAACATCCGTGTGTTGCCAGAAGAGTAGCAGAGAGGCGTTGTGAGATTTTGGCATCAGTGGTGAGGAGCAAATTACTGCTGTCGTCAAATGGGCCATAAACCTCTCTGCACATCTGGACAAATATGGAAAGATAAACCTGTTCAACATTACTTTATCAAACAATTCTTTCTTCAAAAATCTCTTGACTGGGAAGGTTAACAGGGTAAGAGCTCATGATGGCACGGTGTATCCATGAGGTCCATGGTGTAGTGGTTATCACACCTTACACACAGAAGGTCCTGGGTTCAAGTCCCAGAGGAAACACACACCTAATGAACAAATCCACGTCCTGATAACGTCATCATGTCTATGGAAACCGTCAATATTATGCAGGAATGTAGCCACAACTAAATCAACAAACCCACACAGCACAACTCAACCACAGCTTTGACATAATGTATACCAAAAACAACACAATACAATTACAATCTAGTTTAAAATACAAAAGACATTTTATTCACCAAAACTTCAGATTATTTGTCCTCAAAGTCCATCCTCCTCTCTTTCTTTAGGGAGAGTGTGTGCGAGCTGGGCTACGCTACACTTCACCATAGCTAAGGGACACTTAAAAACCATTTATAAAAGTGAACTTGCTGATGCTCTGAATGTGTCTATCATAATAAGACAATAAAAAAAACCTGATTGAGAAAGCCATGCCTCGATCCAGTGAGGTTTCATTTGCTCTCTGCTGTAGGCCTTTCACTCCCTAATGTGTGAAGAGGGGCCTGAATTATAAATCAAGGGTCTTTTAACAACTTTGAAGATTAGAGCGCTGTGGTGTTTGGTGTCCTTATTAATTAATTATACCAGAGTGGACCTGGCCTGTTGATTTGAAGGCCTTTTGTGTCTGCACACAAACACTGACTGGCTCAGTTTATACCTGCCATTAATATTCCTCTCCACATGCATCTCAAGTGGCCATTTGTGAGTGAACCAACGTGTAGTAGCTACATCACTGAGCAAAGACTAACTGTTGTGAGTGCATTTGGATCAGTGTGTGGATAAGAAGTTAATTTTTTTTTTATCATTTTAAATCTAAAAATAAAGCAGAAGAAACAGGGAAAAAAGAGAATGAACACACAGTGATTACGATATTTGTTACGTGTCCTTTGGGACATGGACAGACAGGTGGACTCAAAAGACGATACCTGAGAGAGTCAGGTAAGTAACAAAGTCTTTCTCAAGGTTAGGGGCAGTGATGAAGGGAACTGTTGACCTCATTGGTGTCTTGGCTCGTCAGCTCCAGACAGTCCACACACACCAGTGTTTCCAAACTTTTTTGAGCCACGGCACATATATATCATCAGGAAATACCCCACTGCACACCACAAAAACAAAAAATCTCACAAAAGATATATGCAATGGAATATATTTATCTTCTAATTTAAATGACCTTCTGATTGACTAAATTCTTTAATAGCCATCTGCTGCCACCTAGCGGAAGACGATTTAATTGCTCTGCCTGTCACTCATTGACGAACAAAGAAAACAAAATAGTTGAAATAAATAAATTAGTATAGTTAGTAGTTATAGTTAATACTTTTGGGACCAATTAAGTGACACAGGATAATTTTCCATGGCACATCTAATGATCTCTCACAGCACACCTAGTGTTTGGGAATCACTGCTCCACACACACACACACACTAAAACACAAGCCCAAAAAATAAAATACACACACGCAAAGTCCAACAATACAAAACCCACAGATATCGATATTGTGAGGCAAAACTAAGAATCACGTGTCACTGCAAAGCGATGAAGTGCAACATCATCAAGTTGCCCATTGGTTGGTGCATGTCATTCTGAATTAACAAAGAAAGTGATGGTCACGCGTTATCTGACATGGCTGCCACAGTTCTTGAATATATTTTTCTTCTCGCCGCAAACATTGTTGAATGTAGTATCGATGTAACACAATATGTGGTATGCAGTTTCTGAAAGAATATCTACACAGAATATTATATATTTATGAAAAACACTATTTATGATACATGAAGATGATGACGTCATTGGAACAGAGCAGATGTGTGTGGTCAAGGTATAGCTACGTATACGTGTGAGGACATTCATTATGGGAACATTTTTCAGGTCCCCGTTGAGAAAGATTTACTTTGGTGTTAGGAGTGGAATTAGGATTAGGATTAGCCATACTGTACTCACATGGTGTGTATGTGTGTGAGTTAACCACACACATGCACTATCACAGAAACAAAGGGAGTATTTGATGACAGAAACCAGACTAGAGCTGAATGCTTTGCTCAAAAGATTAGAGGAACATGTTCCCGGACATTTCATCTATAATTTATTGAGTCTATTGAGTCACCAAACACTGCTCACAGTCTGTCAATATCAAACACTAAGAATGAGGCTAAATTACTGTCCTGTCTTAGTTACACAAACAATTCATTTAAACGTCTGTGAAACCACACAGCTCTCTGCTCTTTTCTTCTTACAAAGAAAAATACACACTGAGATAAAAAAAAAAAACTATTCCCTGCTGCATATGAAAATGTAGAAAAGAGGAAAGAGGGAAATTATTTTTCGGCAAAGTTACTGATAAACAGGCTATCGACAAACCATAAGGGCTGTAAACTGTTTTTCCTGTTAATAAGCCTGCTTTTTTTATTAATAAAAGTAAATTATTTGTCATTATTGTCAGGTCTGTCTGTTTCAACTTCCTGTTTTGTCTGATGGGTGGAGTTAGTGTCATCACACTCACCGGTGTCTCTGTCGTTAGTCCCACTCCTGTCAACTGGTGTCCTGGATATATATGTATATGTATATGTATATATATACTTACTCTGTCCTTGTGGAATCATTGTCTTGTTTGTGTTGTTCTGTTCGTTGGTCAGTTTGTGTGCGTTGTGCCACGTTTTGGAGTTCATAGTTTTGGAGTTTGGAGTTCATGCCTTGTGAAAAAGAGAGTTTTGTTGGTTTTCACGTTGTAAATAAACCTGCTGTACCCGAATAGAGTCTCCTTTGTGCTGTATTTGGGTCCTACCTGCTTCCTAACATGAATATCCGTAACAGAATGTTCCCGCCGGTACCGGACCCAGCGGACTGGCGGGCTCTCATATCCCAGTCAACCTGGCCCTGCTAATAGTTCTGAGACAAAATCATGTACGTCACTCGTTGCTCACATTTAGGAAAGTATGATTGGCTGAAAACTTCACATGGAAACAGATGCCTTCAGGGTTCACAAAGAAATTCTGGCAAACAGGTACGGTATGCCTTTACTGAACGGGGAAATCATGGTATATTTGTCTTTTTTTTTTAGGTTATTGATTGCACATCGCCCAGATGGTCAAATTATCGTAAAAAAACCCGATAATTATCGTACACCTGGCAACACTGGCCCGAGAATTATCGTACACCTGGCAACACTGGCCTATATGGGAAGTGAGGCGTTACGTATATATGACAGCTGAGTTACCAGAAGAGTAGAAGAATATAATATAATAGTATACCAGTTTTACTAATAACGACTATTATACCAACAATAGTGTTATGACACCAACGTATCATATGTGTTATTAAATACATGGTCTTTAAACATAATTAATTTAAGGTCTACAACATACCGGCGGTACAGAGAAAGTGAGACACCAACTTAAAACTGGAAAGAAGCTTTGACAACTTCTACTGTATCGTACCACAAGATGGCAGCATTCACCACCTAAGACTCTTCGGTTTAAACCAAGATATAAAATGATCTGTGGGAGTGACCCTCAACTGTGTTGTAGTGTCAATGTCTGTTTGCATGCATGAACAAACACGAGTTGGGGGAGAGATGGGGGCGAAAAGTAATCCAGTCAGTCATTCGTTGGGCCCCGGGCTGTGCTAGTTAATTAGTCAAAGGGCTGGGGCCACTAACAGACCAGCAGTGGCTACAACAGCAGCAGCCTTGGCCCACAGCAGTCCTGATGATGTGAAACAGCTGGAGGGAAGAACTTCTCTCTGCAGACAGAGACTCTTCAAAGAGCTCATCCCAGGCCATCTGGTCTGGACCTGTATCTGATGTGACCTAAGCTAATTTCCCTTCTTTCACAATGTGTTCAAACTGCAAGTGTGTTTGTTCATTAAAAGGTCAGTGTGTGCAGGAGTGTGTGTGTGTGTGTATGAAGTAGCTACAAGAGAGGAAGAGCAGAGCCCAAAAAATGATAACCACAGGAATTTTAAACTGATAACTTGAATGCAACATAATAGCCTGGAAATATGTACTGTAATTGTTAGCCACTTAAAAAAGATCACATATATTGGTATGGTATAAGATGCTAGATTTAACATATATTTTTAAAAGGCAAATATTGACGTCTGTGAAATGTTTGTACCTGTGTGAAATATGTGTGTGGCCGTAAAGAGTGGTTTGATTTAACATCGAAGGTTATTAGAAAATCCATACAGACTGATGGTGATGGGTTATTTCCTATTACCCAGCATTCAAGTGTGTCACCGCACAATAATTACTCTGAGCCTGATTGTTTCTCAGCTGGCACACACACACACACACGTGTGTACGTTGTGGGCAGGCACCACCAATTCAGACAACAGCTTAACAACAATGCAACAGTAATTGTTTGTGCCTCACTGTCTCTCTGGAGAGGGGGGGTTGACCCCATCACTTCCTGAAACACAAACACACATGCACATATAGATGCACATGGTATTGGCACACACATTAACACACAGTGTATACCCCCCGCCCCTCCTCACACACACACACACACACACTCAGACTGCTGTTTTGTGGAGATCAGAAGCCCAGCTCGGAGGCCCCACACCTGGGCATGTTTGCAGAGGAAGCAGGCCTTGGGCGGGCTGCGCTCCATGCGCCTGTCAACTGGCTCCACCAAGTCTGGCCAGCTGTGCTCCTGGCTTGGCCTCGCACTGTGGGGGCTGTGCAGCTGGGAAAGGCATGTTTCCCAAAAGAGGGGGAAAAAAAAGAAAAGACAGAAAGGGAAGAGGAGGAGGGAGGAAGGACACAGAGGAGGAGTAGGAAAGAGCTTTAGGTTATTTCAAGCTCATTACACATTTATCCCTCTTTTTCAACATTCCCTTAGATTGAAAACAATATGTTGAGGCCCAGATTAGTTTATACCTCAGGAGAGATTAAAAACATTCCACTTCATAAAGCTCGATAAAGCCACAAAAATAAGGATCTTTGCATGAAATGTTTTTCAGGTTGAATAGGTGAGAAAAAAAAAACACGGCTTCACAGTTAATGGTCATGAGATAAATAAGATGATAAAGTTAATACAGACAAATCATTTTAGCACATTTAGTCACTACATCAAGAAATGTTTTTATCTTTAACCAAAAGGTTAATGACAAACTAGAGGAAATCAGATAACTGGGATGGTAAAAAAAATACGTTAACTAAACTTCAGCATGGAAAAGTAAAACATTAGCAGAAAATAGGCAATAAATAGCTGAAAGAAACAAAAACCAAAAATAATGTTAAGGTTTATACAATTATAAGAAAGAAATGACTCCATTTGACTTTGGAGGAGACGACAAATAAAACCCTGACAGTAGGACAGAACTTGTTTCAGGTGTCACCTCTTCCTGATGCGTGTACTCGGTTGGTACCATGTGGAGCCCCACAGGACTGTGAGTTTAGCATCAGTTAGTGGAGGAGCTGGTGCTGTTTCCTTCTGTCACTCAGCACACCAGGAAAGAGGCGGCCCAGGGTCAAAGAAGCACAGAGACGTAGATTGTTGTCAAACCCTTTCCAACCTTCTAGTCATAGGTCTCTGTCCATAGTATGGATGTAGGTGTGTACCCTACATCAACAATACTACAAATACTGTATATGTACTGTATATGTACTGTATATGTACTGTATATGTACTGTATATGTGTGTGGCTTGCACCGTGCAACTTAAGCTGACAATTCATTTGACATTTTGCCTGTTCATATACACAAAGGGGAAAGTGCAAGCTGTCCTGAGCCGTGTGACTTTAATGCTTTAATTTGATTGGTCAAAAACAATTTGCAAAATAAAAAGCAGAAAATCAGATTCTACTCATCTACAGATGTTTCAGCGTAATCACCTGACCACTAACGTTGCATTGTGACATTAATTAAGGTCCACAAAGTAAAATAGGTGAACATTCAATAGCCACTCCAGCTATTTATTTAAAAATAAAAAGACTCCTCAGCAATGTGAGAGCAGCCATGGAAAACACACTATGACCATTTATCCTCTGCACAATGGACAGAGCTTGCTGACACACACACACACACACACACACACGTGAACGGTGTTTCTGCTGGTGAAAAGACCCTCTCACAGTTGTCTCTCTGTGAGGGTCTGAAGGTGCCACACTGGCTCTTACAGCCCGGAGCCTTTGGCTGCTCCTGCTGCTGCCACCTTCAGCTGTGGCCTGACCCTGGACCTGTGGCCCTGCTGCTGCCACCAGGAAACCATGCACACGGTCATGGGACATTACAACAAGGAAGTGACATAAGGAGATGGTATTGATGTGACATAAAGTTGGAGGGACGGTGTTTATACAATAACCTGACAGATCGGTTCTTGCTTGGTCATTAATGATTGGTTGATTTAATGTTACAGACCTGAAAAATGTATAGTTTGCTGAATTTTCCACCTGTTTCCTGTTCATAGTTAACACTAATTCAACCATTAATGTTACAGACGTATGTTGTTTATTCACTGAAATATGTATAGTTGCTGAATTTTACACCTGTTTCCTGTTCATAGTTAACACTTTTTTATAAATGAGAAGAAACTTTTTTGTTATTCAACTTCTTTAGGTCAGACAATGACAGTGGTTATGTCCAATTTTGACATCTGACCTCGATGAACACCACACACTCCTTTGACGTTTCAACGCACTTCTCTACCATCACTTCTGATGCAAAATTGCAAAACCTGTAGTAATCCTCCTGGACATGAATCAAAACTGTGGCACACTGACCTGACCCTCTGGTCTCAGCCTCATTTGAAGCACTCTTTGTTTTGCTGTCATTTGTTCATTGGCTAATCAACTTCATGATTTATTATCCTTTTCTCAGCTCAAACATCTCTTCGACTGAACCTCCTCTCTGGTTTTCTTCTTGGCTTGGAATATCTATGTCTACTTTCTTGTTCATGTTTTTTTTTTTGCTTCCTCGTTCCCATGAATATAGCCCTGTAGTTCCTCATTCCACCATCAAGACTTTGGCTTCTTCCTTTGCCTCTAAGGCCTTGTTTACATGGCGACGATATGGTTTGGGATCCCGGAGCTAAAGCTAATTTGGTCTTGCCTTTAGATGAAAACAGAGTGTCCCAGGTCCCAGAGTGGAGTACACACTCAGGGTTTGCATCTCAGTGTGTCTACATGCATTACACTGAAGTACATTTTGAAAAGTTCTAGTTGAGGCTTTAGTCTGCCTTCTTAGAAGATGATACGTCTGTGTGGGACCGTTCAGGCTCTGCTAAGTAAAAACAAAAATAAGGCCCAGCGTTGTTGAGTAAATGGTGCAGAACAGACTTCCAGGGAGATTTTTCAAAAATCCTGACGTGTGCAAAAACCAAAGAATTATCTTCGCAGCTGTCCGTACATCAGGAGGTATTTTCCGGAGAGTGCAGGCTGCCTACGGCCTGATCACAGAAGCAGTACAGGAAGTCCAACAAAAAGAAAAGGAAGTGAACACCAGGCTCCAGGAAGTCAGTTTTTGCAGCTTTGGCTCCACAAAGTCTGGAACTCTAAGGAGGGCGGGGGGGTGGAGGAGGGTTGGAAAGGCAGGCAGGCCAGATGAGTGTGAGAGAGAAGGAAAAGTCACAGAGGATGGAGGAATACAGACGCAGTGACGGCGGCAACAGCTGTCCCCGCGCCGCCAGCTGTGTGTCATTTAACGAATGCTTATAAATATGAGGCTGGAACCAGGGTGATGTTCCTGGAGCTGTGGCGCCAGACGCTGTGTTTCAAATGACACTGGGTGCCACCACTGACTTCCCCCGAATCTACAAATATACACACAAATGAGAGACCACAAAAAGCGTAGCAGCACGCCGCAAGTAAATTTAGGCAAATATTTGTGAGAAAGATAGAGACAAGAGGATTTTCCAGCTGCTCTTGTGTGTCTGAAGTTCCACACGACAGAGAACCAAATCTGGCTGTTCCCACTCCAACTGTAGCA